AACACAATTCCATTTCAAACCAACCTTTGAAGTCTACAACTCTTTTGACCTTAACATTTGTTCTTTCTCCTGGGCTTTAATGGACGCTGCCAATTCTCCATGGCACCATAGCAGGGCTTTTCAAAGAAGGTTATTTTAGCTGTTGTGTATTCTTCCATCAAAATGTTCCTTTTTTTCCCTTTTCTTTTCTTTCCGTGCCCACTCACGGCAACACAAGAGCTGGAGTTAGGTCACATCTCCAGCTGCATACAACATCTGACCACTCAAATCCTGCCACATGCAGAGTAAATGTAGCCTCTGGGTGTTTCCTCCCGACTGGAAGCAGTGGTGGAAAGACGTTTCACGGTGAGAAATAAACGCATTCCGCTCCTCTTCACAGGAGTCGATTTGTCAGTGATGAATTGCACTTCAGGAGGGGAGCGAATGACAGGGCCTGTACTTGTTGGAGTCGATGTGATTGAGGCAAATTACCACATTTAGTTTCTTGTAATTGGGTGGGCTGACATCAAATTGCGGTGTCAAGAATTTAATGTTTTAACTTCACTCTCTGGACTGCTGCACGTCCTCTGACACATTTGCATCCAGTTATTATTTTTTTTAAATTCCTGTACATAAATCAAGGAGTTAAGGGTTTGAGTCTTTGTGGAAATGGACTCATCGGCAGCCTCGGGTTTTCACTAACTCGCTTTTAGCTCATGTTGCAGATAAAAGTTGAGGGAGTCCATTTGTCTCCTGTGGATTTTATGGCAGCAACTGAAGGAGGAATAAAATCAAATCCTCTGCTTTCAAGAACCTCAACACCATCCAGTTATATAACCTGGCTTTAATACCGCTCTCTGTGCGGACCACTCGGCTCTTCTTTCATAGTCAGAGTCAAAGCTCGGGCCGACTCTGTGAAACCACTTTGTCCGTTCCGTGTATATTTAGAAACTCTATAAAGAAATGCTGCCACAATAAAGGCTCCAGACTGAGACTTGATTTGCACTCCTGATCAGTGAAGAGCTGTTTGAATGGAGGCTTATTTCAGGTTTACTGTTGCTCATCAGCACTGAAGAACATTCAATTAGTCGGTGAGAGTGGTCGTCCAAACGGCTGCTCCTGACATTCATCTGAGTCATACAGAAAAAAGGGAATTAAAGAAACGTAGATCTGTGGATCAGTGGAACCTGGAGATACGAGCATAATCCGTTCCAGGACTGAGCTCGGAACTCAAGGTGCTCGTATCTCAAATCATTTTTTCCATAAGAAATAACAGAGAAAAAATTAATTAGTTCCGGCCCTCTAAAAAACTTCCTTACATTATAGTATATGAGTATTCCTGTGATATAAAATAAAATGTGGTTTTAATTATGAGTTCTGACCTTCGAGACAGACGATACAGTAGCGGCTAATGGAGGAGGGGGGGGGGGGGAGGGAGAGAGTTGGCCCGGACGTAGACGCGTGATTTCGTACCGTACCTTACACGTACACTACGTAACTTACATAAACTTAGAATTAACTTAGCTAACATTTTTTTTGTTTGTTGCTTTTTTACATTTGTATTCTTTCTTTCTTTAGCACCACGCTCATATTTATTGACAATTTCCTGCTTTATTTCCATGGTCATCGTGAGTTTTTTCTTCTCTCTACCATCCTTACCACTCACTTTCTTAGGACTCATCACTATTGTGAAGAATAATGCACAAAATTCAGAGAAAATCACGTAGGTAACGTTGACGAAGACGTGAAGTGAACGAGTGATGCGGCGTGGGCTGCTCCGAGTTCTCGGCCACCTAGCGTCGGGGTCTGTAAGCGTGCTCCTATCTCAAATCTTTACTCATATCTCAAAGCCAAAAGGCTTCCTCGTATGTCGGATAGGAAAGATAATTTGTGCGAGGAAAAACACTTTCTCTCTCCCTTTACCACTGACTTTCACAAAATGGCATCTGCTGTAACACCTCTGGTTAAATGTCCCATGTAATAACTTTGTTTTGATTCCAAGATGATATGCATGAAGTTTATAAGTGCTCAGTACTTTTAGAGCCGGAACGTCACACTGGCCTCTGGGACTGAAGAGGTCAAGTGTTAATATTTCTGAATATCAGCCAGAACATGATTACCTGGATGTTAGAGTTAATTTCAGCCTGATCTGGAATGAAATCTGTTCAACAGGATGTAAATACAAAACATTTTGGTACCTTGTAATCCACTTTATTTTTTATTAAGATTTAGATAGTTTAGTGTGTAATGTGACAAAACATCATAACCCAATATAAAAACGTTCAATAACTGCAGTTGGAAAGAATCAGGAAATAAGAAATAAAGAAAACAAAGTCTGTGAAAGGACTCAGGTAAGCACGGCCCCTGCTCCCTCTTTTATATATTTCTTCTCACAAACATAATTAGACCCTGCTGTTCTGTTTTTTTTTTCCTGTCGGGCTTAAAATAGGTGAAAAATAGGTCCAGTCACGTTGTAGTTCACATGAATCTGATCCACATTTCTGCCCACGCAGCCTGACGAGAGAAGCTAATTTGATATTTATATGTGCTGCATTTTGATCGTCATGTGACCAATACCCATCACGACCGTATGAACACGATGATCACCAACAGTAACGTGGAGACTTATAAATGGTTCAGTTAACTGTCAGATCGCTATGTTTTCGGAACAGATTTCCGAGCTGTTCAGGTACCGTTCTAGCGGACCTGAAATCTCAAAGACTCAGTCGATCCCATCTACAAATGTGAGAATCCTGTTGACTGCTGTTATTGAGAGGGACTCTCACTGCAGAGGATGAAAGCAGTGAGACGGAACAGAAGGGAAGAAAGCCCACTACGTTCACCTGTCTCTTTTCTAAAGCAGAGAGTTAGAGGACTGGGCCTTTTATCAGACACATCTGAGCCAGTGGTTTATTACAGCAGGGCAGACCTGGGCTGGTTGGACCGTACTGTCAAAAAAAAATCTATTTTTAACATTGAGCTCTAGTCAATGCTTTTGAAGCAGTGAGTCAATATATGTAAATGACTGAATAATACACCATCATTCATGTTTACAGTGTGATATAAGAAAAGCACAGACACTTTTGGTAAAAAGTTACTGTAACTGAAAGTTCCTTATAAGGATGGGTAAGTATGCTAATACAGTCAGAGAGGTTTGTTAATAATAATTTTGATCTGTAGCAGCGTAGTGTGTAGTGGTGTTTGGTTTTTTGTGTGTTGTGATTTGTGTAGTTCCAATCTGTTTATCTGACAAGTTGTGCGAAACCCATTTAAGACAATTTTTCAAGACATTTGTGTAAAATTAGTTAATTAATAAATATCACGTTTTTCGCCCCTCTTCCTCTTTTTTACTGTTAGAGTATTATCTGTTTTCAATTATTGACCTGTGTGGAATTTTTCTGTATTTTCAACAAATGAATTCCAGTAAAAGCCTGACAAAACACAAATGTTACATCAGATTATTTCTGACCTATTTCCAGAGGGGCAAACACCAGCACTGGATTTATTTTTTCGCAGCAAAAAAGAAAAACAATATGTAACACGTTATGGTTTAATAAAGAAAAATATTCTGTAATTCAGCGTCAGCAGTACCAGTACAGTTTTGGTCCCGAGGAAGCTGTACATTTTGGGGTGGTTTTGTGAAGCGCAGAAATGTGATTAGTAATCTCACCAGCTGTTGATTTAGGACGCGCGTCTCTGATGAAGTCTCGTGAAAAGACTCATAAAAGTTGGAACTTGATGCGGTGACGTCAGTGTGTATGCATCTGTGTGTTTTTTGGTGCTCTTGAGTAATAATAAAGGACATTGGTTGCTTAAAGTAAAGATGTCCACACTAAACATGTATTAGTATCTGAACTGGTGCACATGAATGTATAGTAAATTGTTTTTTTATTGCACATCGATACAGTAAATAGAAGCAAAGCACAGTGCTGTTGTTTCGTACAGCGGATACAAAAACAAAGTTGTTGCAAACCAAGGCTGAAAAATAGTTACAGCCTTGATTTCCGATCCCTAACCACAGATCATTATCAGAAGTAAAAAAGATGAGTGTAAAAAGTTCAGGAACGTCGAACCAAGCCTTGACCAAAACATGAAAATCTGTGAGCAGAAGATGCAGTTGGTGATAATCACATTTGATCCACCGTTTTATAAATAGCTCTGAGCTATGCTGCAGTGTGTAGGCTTCAGTGGCAACTGTACAGACGTGAATGTGCGTCACTGTTATTTTCAAATGAAACTTATAATGTTGACATGTTTCCCTGCAGCAAATCTTTTTCTTCTTAGTTCATTTCTGGTCAGAACCAGACGTAGAATTTACTCTGGTCCAACAACTTTGTGCTTAAAAGAAACTGCATTTTTTTGTACTTTTGTACAATTTTTAATTGTATTATTGCATTATTTTACTGTATATCTACAGTAATTTTTCTCCAGCCATCTGAGACTGACCTAGCCAAACGGGCAAATATTAAACCTTTTTGTGGCTCAAGAACGATAAGTGTACCCAAAGTACTTGTTTCAACTATTTTTCAAATGTTTGATCCTGTCCAGGTAATGATTAGTTATTGAGACCAGTATTGACTGACTAGTTATTACAGTAAAAACACACCCAATGACAGATTAGTCTAAAATGCTGGGCATACATACTGCCCCCTCTAGGTGCTAGCTGCAACTGCTAGCATAGAAATATCCAACGTTACATCAATATACCTCATTTGATTCATCAACTGTGTTGCATCATATTATTTTGATATTGTACCCCAGAAGTGAAAAGTGTTTTTTTAAAACTTTTTAAACAATCTACAATAATCAGCCTCCTCTTTTAAATCGATCCTGCCACCCTGCCAACATCTATACTTCTCCACCCATTAGTGAATGTTTATTAATGATGTTCTGGACCGGGGACGATGACAGTTTGCTGCAGCAGTCTGTATTTATTTGTGCTGATCATCAGAATGCAGAACTCCAGGACTGTGTTTCTAAGTACTGACCTTGTGCTCTAATTCTATCGCTTTCTTTTCCAGGTACACCCTTTACTGATGCGCGAGAGGCGCTCGGAGTCGCAGAGGAACAAGCTGCTGCGGCGGACAGTCAGCGTTCCCGTCGAGGGAAGGCACCATCCTGAGATGGGTGAGCAGACAAACTACCCAAAACACGCTGTTAACTGTTTGGTATAGGACAGATCTTAACCAATTTACAGAAGTTCAACCATTACAAATCTTTATGGAAATGCAGTTTTGTAAATGACCATGTGTAGTCAACAAACTATTTCATCTTCCTCTACATGACTTAGAACATACGTGTCAAACCAAATCAAGGCCCGGGGGCCAAATGCGGCCCGCCAAGCCGTTTTGTGTGGCCCGTGGGAGCTTAAAAATAATTAAAAGTTTTTATAATCAATCAAATAATAATCAATTGCAGAAACAGTTATTAGTCTGTTATGGAGGAGTTACATCTATACCAGTGGTCCACGATCTTTTTTGTTCCAAGGACTGGTCAGCCAGTACCACCCGTTAGTACAGACCAGTAATAAGGTACTGAGCATTACATTTTCAAATTAAAACATCTTTTATACTTCTATTCTGATAGAATCAGAGTTTGAATGACCTATTAATTTAAAATTAGATTATCTTTTGCCAGATTATCTTAATCTTTAAATGGATATGACTTTTTTTAATGAAGTAAATTAGTAAAACTTAAGTACATTTTTTCACTGTGTTCCACTGCGGCTCGGTACCAAATGACCTATGGACTGGTACTGGTCCGTGGACCGGAGGTTGGGGACCCCTGGCCTATACAGTTTTCAATTTATAACCACCCTTCAAGGGGAACTGCATTGCTGATGTGCCCCCCTGGTGGTAATGGGTTTGACACCCCTGACTTAGAACAATAGCAATTACAGGGTAAGATACACAGGACGGATTTCATTTGCTGTGGAAATACCTTTTAAATTCAGCTCGATGTAGGAGAAGCCTTCATTACTATGAGTAACACAAACCAGGTTGATATCTGCCTCTGATTTGGCTAAAAAATTCCTCCTTCATGCCATTCCCAGACCCTGCTGCACTGCAGTCCAGGTCCTGG